CCTCAGTAAATTGTTAATTTTGGATAGTATCTCCATAGAATAAGTGATTTCTTAATATTAGGGTACTTCACTGTAGAAGTAAAAAGTTTAATTGACATGGTTTGAAGCTCTAATCTTAATGCGTGTACTGAGTAAAACAGTCACTTTTTTTAGGTTGCTCATTTGGCTAAAAAGGTGGTATTATATACAGCAATAATGTATCCAACGTGTTTCTGTCCCTGTAGTTTTGCCATCTATGAAACCAGGTATTATATTTGATCAGAAGTATGGAAATTTCATAGTAAATACATCTATGCACAAGGATAGTTTTATTCTTTGTTTTCTTAGTGTACTCACACAAACTCTGGGTGCAATATTAAAAGAATAGGTCAATGATCAGAAGTCACACATAACGTGCAGATCCCAACTTCAAGTTGCAGTTCTACTTGTACAAAGTGTAAGGAATCTCTACAGAATGCAGAAAAACAAATGCATGAATTGGGATTCATTAGAGCAGCAAAAATGAAGCTTCCTTGTTTTACGCATCATCATTAGAAAATTGCTATATTGTGATACATTCCGGCCTATCATGACTGCTTTGAGGCCAAGTAAGATTCCCCAGCGTTTGTCACCACTGCTCCAACGTAAGGTTCCAAACAGAAACATTTCTTCCAAGAAGGACGTAGTCTCGTACTTTATAAATGTACCTTGTACCCCAAGAAACAGCTCAAATCGTGGGGGAAATCCACACAGCCTCCTCTTGGCAAAAAAAGACTGGAAAACATCAGCTGCCAAGATAGAAATACAAACGTAATGTGTGTGAACAGAATATCCAGAACTGAGCAGGTGTTTGCTCAAAGTCTGGTAAGACTGAAAATGAAGACAACCACCAGCCACGTTAAGCAGTAACCAGGCAGTTACCAAGAGACCTTGGGTAGGAAAAAAGTCAGCCTAAAATCAAGTATCAAAAGCACTAACATTTCTAACAGTGAGAAGAAAGAAGCAGTCAAAACTGGTCTGACGTGGAGAAGATGCCCTCCTGGCATCTCAAGCTCTGCTGAGGCCTGAAGGAGCGCCCTCCCCAGCAGCCAGGAGTAGCCTGCGTGCCTGCCAGTGGGCTGACAGTACAGGGCGCAAGAAGCACTGACCACTCCTGGGGCGTCTGCACATCACCTCCTGGGGTGCTATCCCAACAGGGGGGTGCGTTAGTGGAGCACAGGGAACAGCGCAGGTAGCGTGCAGCTACAGCATCCACGTCTCCAGAGATGTGTATAAATACGATAATACTCCTAGAAGGGTGGGCTCTTATAATACAAACCTCCTGTTAAAAGCATAGAGGTGAACACGTAACTGCAAACTTGTGGGGGATTGCTGTAAAAGGGCATTTAGATATCTGAAGGTGTTTACTAAGGTTTTGCAAATCATTGTAATTTGTAATTTTGTAGAGTCATTTATCTGTAATATTGCTGCTATTAATCCTGCAAGTATAGTTCATGCACTAACAGTAAATTACAAGCTATTATTAGATCAACAAACCACTTTAATTCTAACTTGATTTAAGCCACAAGTTGTTTTCCCCTACAACAAGCACATGCACTCTCTTCAGCGTTTCCTACCTCACACCGATACGCAGCCTTTGGCTAAAATTTAACTGTCTCGTGTTTTTCTTTTTCTTTATTCTCTTTTTACTTTTCCTTCACCTGAGGGCACCTGAGATATTCAGGAAATCAACCAGCTACCTATACAGGTCACATTTGCTTCAGTACTCCGACTGATTCCAATCCAACTACTACAGTAACTGTACTCGCCCAAAATTATGGCTCCAAAACCTCGACCAAAATAGATCATGTCTTCCAAAAGTGGCTATTACGTTCTTGGGTTAGGCAAATGAAAATTTAAAATTTAAAAGGTTTAACATATATGCTAACTTTCTTAATGTGGCTTCTTGAACATGATGTTCTAATGAATTGAATCCACTAGATGAGATCTTTGCATCAGGAAATTCCAATTAAACACCATATGAAAGATGGCATGTTTCTCCCCCCGCAACTGACAAAGTTTAGTTTTAGCCTACTTCTAGAAAACACTGGAAAAAGTGTCATTCATATTTATTTCTTCTTTAGGCAGAGTAAAAAAATACAGTTAAATTTCATATTGTATGGTTCACTTCTGTACTTCTGCTGATGACATTTTTATAAATTAGAGGTAATCAAGAATCCTTTCCCACATTTTAACTTCACAAATTCTCAGAGTCTTTTGAAACCATAAGACTGGCAAAATCTAATGCCTGGGTTACAAAATGTAGAGCCTCATTACCATCCCTGTATCTTAAGCAGACTTGCATAAAACCATGCATTGACAGATCTTGTAATCAAAGACACTGAACAAGCATGCAAACTGATCTGTGACTCAGAACCTTTTTGAGGCTCAAAAATACTAACGTTCATTAAGTGTAAATGTACTGCTTCTAAGCTTTTTCTTATTTGTGAGCTCCTAACTTTTGATTAGTCAAAATAACAATCTCCCAGAATTCTTTTTCCATTCTTCTGTAATCAGGAGAAAAAACATTCTGTATTATGCATAAAGATTTTTAAAACCAACTAAGCTTACAAGAGACATTATGTCACCTTAGCAACTACTTTTTAGAAGTTACTTACTCTTCAAAAGCTGATTTTTAACTTGCACTTAAAAATAATTTCTAGACTAGCAACTGGCAACCACATTTTTCTTCATTACTCTTTTAGAAAGCCATAAAGACTTCAATCTGAAAAAGAGAATTAAAATATTACAGAGCCTATGTGACAAAAATGTGTTCATAGTAAACTGTTTTCAAAGCTATTCATTCAAGTACCATGCAAAGAAAGTGACTAGCGGAAACCAGAGCAACCTAGAATTCCAAGAAGAAATACTACAGGGAAAAAAAAAAATAATTGCAGTTAAAAAGACACATAAAAGGCAGTTATTCAAATATAGTCAGCCAGGGAAATGAGCACCTTAGCTGTCAGTTGCATGCCCCCTAATTCCAACCAACGCTGCTCCAATGCCATATTTATTACTCCTCACTTCTACTACTCCATAGCCCTCTTCCAAGTTAACAGAGTATCTAAATGTTTTGGTCCCCCCCCACCAAGTGCTAGGAACAAAACTACTCTTCTATTTCTCCCTGTTCAGAAGGTACATTTCCCCATTACCAAACCACATTCTTACCTACTTTACTGTTTACATATTCCATCCCTGGAATATGGAATCAAAGAACTGGAAATCCTTCCTTTATTCTGTAACTTAACTGAGTGCTTCAAGCAAGCACAGTAGGAGCACTTCTCTAGTTAACATTTACCCAGCACATACCACCTCCTCATTCCCTTAACACATCTGAGTCACAACCACCAGCTCAAGTGACTACAAATTAACCTACTAAAGCAAAAATGCATAAAGTTACAGTCATCTGACACGTAATTTCATAGAAACCTACATCTAGGAAACTGGAAAGCTTCCCCTTGAAATAAGTGCATTTTATTTAAGCCAGAGAAGATCTGTAGAGATGCAGCATCTTGTATCAAGTCCATTGATGCACTATTTAAAAAAAAAAAAAAAAAAAAAAAAAAAGCAGGCTTTCAGAGAAGCAAGCTCTTGTTTTAGATTTAGTCTTAAGATGGCTATAAAGGTTATCAGTCCACTTACAGCCTCTTCCTCTTTTTCCAGGAGGGTTCTTTTCTAAGGAAAATGAAAGATGAACTCATTTCCTTTGAATAACTATGGATTAGGCTTGTAAGCAAAAGCAGGACAGAATTTTCCTACCCTCCTTATCATGATGTTTTGTACCTTCTCTGCCCATTTCTTTTTCAAAGTCAAAGCCTGGTAGGTAAAATAAAGCCCCAAATTAGGCCCTTAAATTGATCTTCTAGCCAGCGGAATACTGCATGAATAGTTTATTTTTTAAACAGCACTTCTGTTATTTTGAAAATTGAACATTGTTAAGCAGTAGGAGGTAACTTCAATATCTGTGCTAGTCTTTGAATCATAATTCAGTAATCCTTGACAGAATATGAAGGCTTCTGCCTACCTTGCCTATTTGGTCTGTGCCACACCATTCTGTCAAACTCCACCTGCTGGATAATCTTAAAACAAGCCTAGAGAAGATTTCATTTCACCAGTATTGACACCTAGACACAAGGAGAAAACTGACTGAATGGTATACCTGATTATATATTCTTCATGCTTTTCTTTTCTACCATTCGCTATCAGTAATACAATCAAGTGAAATCTCTGGGTAGATATTTTTTCTAAACACCTCAGGTTAATGGGCGATATTTGTAACTAATATCAGTGTCTGGTAACGCAGTTACATACAAAAAACGTCATAGCTCCATGTCATAGCTAAGGAGAAAAGAGTATACTCCACGTTTTTCCGCCACTGATAATAGAAAAGCAGAAAGTAACATGTAAATGTCATTTTTTACTACTATTTAGAAAAGTATCATCATTAATTTTTCAAATGCTATGACATAAAACAGGTAAAAAAAGCCATGGAACTCCAAAACAGTAACAACTCCAGAGAATGCCAGTTCTAAGCTAATGAACTAATTTGAAACATACACATCCATCCAAATGCTAGTGACTTTTCTGCTTGCTAGCCCTTTCAGTAAATTAAGTCAAATCACGATACATACATTCTGTTAGAGCTACAATGAAGCATCCAACTTTATGGCTGAGCTCTACTATTTGTGTTCAGAAACATTTCTAGCTTTGGGGCTTGAAGAGGCGTTACATTTGAGAATAGTAATTTAATCAAAAGTTGGGAGAGCACGTAGTCACTTAGAATACTGCTCAAATATTTCTCTAGAAAAAAAATGAACACCATTTTACACAGCTGATGATGTAGCATAGGCAGTAAAAACCCAAAAAACCCTGCTGCGTGCAGATTATTATTTCAGAGTATCGTCACAAAATAAACACAAGTGAAGACTATCTGCAGTGAGAAGTTTTATAGAAGCTTCAAAACTATTATTTCTGATGAAGAACTATTTCTTTCCTCTTGAAAGAATTCCACCTATTTTTGCCAGATCTCCAAATGAAACTGTTGCAGAACCTCTCTGCGCTGGTCTTGCCTAAGAAATAAAAGAAGAAAAAAAAAAAAAATTTTTTTTATATATAGGGCTAATTTTAAGTGAAAATATTTTGTAAAAAGCTTTTAAAGCACCAGTAATTTAAAAAGTACCTTCAAACAGAAAATAGTTCAGTTTCATGTTACCTGTGATTCATGGAACTTCCAGCCAATCATGTAGTAGATCTGAAACGTGGCAGGCACTGAGCCATCGCTATTTCCATACATTTCTGTCAGGGCAGGAAGGGAGAGGAAAAGAAAAGGTACACAGAATGTCAGTTCTAAGAAATACTTAGTTCTCAGAACATTAGAACTAAGTATGACATATTCATCATAATGACTCTTGGTGAAAGACTTGGGACAATAGAAATATCTCATACTGGTGCATTGACATGGTTCAAAACCTGTCACTACAATTAAGGTTAAAAATATCTGTATGGTAATGATATTTTGTTCTGTACCAAAATGGTGGGGGTTTTTGGGTGGTGGAGGTTTTGTTTGTTTGTTTTTACACAGAAGTCAGAGAAAAAGACATAGAAAATATGTTCTTAAAGTCATTTCAGATTAACTCTTTATCTCCCAAATACTTACCTCGATATATTGCAGCAGCTGCCAACATTGTCTCCCTGTGTAGCAGCGGTTTTCTATTCCAAGAGCAATTACTTTCCCCCATACCTAAAAATATGGTTTAGCTTTAAGAAAAAGAAGATACAGCATATACCATGAGTTAAGTGTCATGCACTAATGACAGATCTTTACTAAACCAAAATAAGTACAGAATCCTCTGAATCTTGCTGTAAGAGAGAACAACACACTGCAAATAATTAGGCAAGTTTCTTACCTACAAGAATCAAAGCCTTTTAATGCCAATGCTTTGCAATTTACAGTTTGTATTGCTAGGAATGATTTCAAATTATTACTTCTTCAGCCTGAATCTGCAAACATTTAGGTTTTCTAGTATAATTTGTTTTAAGCATGAGTACAATGTGTTTATTCAGACACACAACTCAAACATTTTTTGAACAGATAAGCATCAAAATGAGTATCCCAAGAGATTTTTAATAAGAAATAAAATAACCACAATTCTAATCTCTTTAATCACTTACTACATCTGAATGTTTCTGCAGAGAATGGAAGTTTTATTTCCATTAAGGAATTACTCTAAACAACAGCAGCTGATCCAGTGTAAGAAGATGCACTGAATTGCTCTGTAGGTAACAACTGACTGCGTATGAATGACTACTTTACAATCCATGACAAATGCAATCAGAATACTAACTCAATTGTTAAGCATCACAATTGTTTTTTGCTTCCTCAGCAGACTCCAATTTGAGGTTCTATTTATTCTCATTCCAAAGCAATTTCCTGAATGTCCTGATAATTAGGGAGGCTCGCAGGAAAAGTTAGTATGTAGGATATATGTTTCTGTCTCCCTTTCAGGGCTTTTCAGCAGCTTACACTGAACAGGCTCACAAAGAATGGGAATACAAGGGAAGCAGAAGATTCATAGCAGGCCACAAAGTAGCAAATCTTTGACTTCTGCTTCCCAACACAAATCTGCCAATAGGCATAGTCTCCTGACTCACTAGAGATCAGGAAAAAAAAGTAATGCTCCCACTGTTACAGTAAGTTTTTTTTTTTTTAAAGGAAGAAATTTTTTATGATGAGGATGGTAAAACACTGGAACAGGTTGCCCAGAGAGGTGGTAGATGCCCCATCCCTGGAAACATTCAAGGTCAGGCTGGACGGGGCTCTGAGCAACCTGGTCTAGTTGAAGCTGTCCCTGCTCATTGCAGGGGGGTTGGGCTAGATGACCTTTAACGGTCCCTTCCAACCCAAACTATTCTATGATTTGGAGTTAAGGAACACAGTGAAACTCTTCTGTGTCTGCATCACTGGCATAGAAAACATTGATGTTTCCACAAAGTATATACTTGCCTTGCAAGTCTTCCATAACCTCAAACAACCCTGGGTAGTTGACTTGAATTTCATCAGTATCCTAAGAGAATTGAGAAGCTTAGTTTTAGAGCATATCAAGCTAGAACAGTAGCATTATGCTAGCCTTCAGAGCTGCTAATGGATTATTCATCTGCTATTTCTGTTCAAGCTGCGTATTTCTCAGAAGAATATACTGTCTTAACATTTCTAAAAAGTTCTGTTTAGTAGCCCAAATGCAATTAAATTTTAATTGAAATGCCATTTTCTTCTTGGTTTTAAAAGAAACAGCAAGAGTGTCTAAAGTTTTTTCAAGCAGGTCTAACATACTCTGACATTTCTCCAAGAAGACCATCCAAATTCTACTAGGCCACTAGCCAAAGATACACTTCAGTTGGTTTCATTAATCACACTGAAGCCGAGAGCAGAGGCAGTCCAGGCTACTTCAGAAACTTATTCAGCAAGGTGCACAACATGCAGAAGGAAGCGGTACATTACTAATACATTCGTAAACAGTATTTTTTATCTACCAGCAGCTCTGATGTTCTGGATTGTTCTGCCTGATTGTTCTGTTATTTAAAATTACCACAGTCAGGGTGTTAAAGCCAGCTCTCGACAGCAGATGTCCCAAATCAGAGACAGCAGTGAACGGTGATACGTGAGGAGAAAATCCCCCTTCCCTCTCCAATTCTGCTAGCTGCAAAGAGCAGCGAAGCTCATACAGAGTGTCTCCTCCCAGCATGGCACCAATGAATACTCCATCTGGCTTAAGCACTTGGTGAATCTACAACACAGGAAAAAAAAAAGTTTTTTTGTTATTAAGCCTATGTAACTAAGAAGTTCTCAGGACCTTTTTTTTAAATGAACTTAAAAGAAATCATTTTAATAGTTGTAATAGGTTTTTAACATTGACTGTATTCTGACAGGCAAGCTTCACCAAAGCTTTTGGTAACACTGCAACTAAATAATCTGTCTGAAAAAGAAACTATTTGTTCTTAAGAAAGAGCGCATCCCCAGAAATTACACTTAAGAGTCAGGAAACGCAAAAGGCACTGTGGAAATCTAGGGTAAAACTATTTTCAATGGGATACTCCTAAAACAATATCCCCAATTTACTTCTGAAAATAAGGTAGATTAAGACACTTTCTGCTTACTTTTAGTTTCTCAGATGAGGGCAGCAAAAATACTCTTTAATGGCTTGATTTAAGAGAAATGGAGGCCTTAGTTTCCTATAGTGATCATTGCACTTCTGAATGCACAACAGAGTAATGCAACTCTTATTATGTCTACCCCTGCTTATTTTTAACTAGCCAGAATAGCAATATCATGACTCAAACGCAGAGGTTGACAAACTGCTTTCTTGTCTACCAAGTTCTAGCCCCCTTCTTACTGAGAAAGCCAACAAATTCATACTTTCTTTTTCCCTTAAGAATTGGCAATGATCCCTGGTTTAGATATCCAGAAGAGCCATATTACCTAATCAGGCTAACAAGACAGCAAAAGCTACAGTTTACCTTACTAACTTGAAACAAAAGCCTTTTAAACAGGTTTTTAATTAAGTATTGATCAAGCTACCTTTTCCATGCTAATAAAGAAGCCTTTAAGGCAGTTTCCGTTAGTTAAAGCCAGTAATCCCGAAGTAGGAAATGAGCATTTACGATAAAAGTTGGCCAAGAACCCCAGTTCCCTCCCCTTTGTGGGACATTATAATGAGTCAGTTACTTTTACCGTGGAGGTAAAAATATTTGACACTCCATAAAATACTTAAATTCCAGAGAAAATGTCTTGAAGTACTGAATGCATTCCAATTTCTATTTTTATTATTTCCATAACAGCAGGGTACTCCTATTCATACTAGCAGGTGATAGAATAGCACTATAACAAATGACCAATTTGAAATAAATGAAAACACAACAAACTAGTTAAAATATTCCTTGCTCTTGCTCCCAAGTTAGCTGATTTGAAAAAAGGTTTTCACTTGCAGGAAGGAGCTGAAATAACCCTGAATCAGATTTTTTTTCAGTAACAGTTTCAGTTTTCCAATAAAAAATACTTGTGTGCAACACGAGCTATTTCTATACCCCTTATTTAAAGATGACCTGGAAATACAGAGTGCTCTGAATGCAATTAATGGCAAGTGTTGATTTTTAGTATTAAAAACCAGTTTCTTACCTCTCTAAAAGCTTTAGGAAGGTCATTCACCCAATGCAAACTGAAATAACAGAAGCGTACATTTTATAATTGTATATTAAATAAAATTTAGGAAATGCAAATAATTGTTACATTACCTAAGTACGTTTCAGAAGCCAGACCAACGAACTAGTTTCTCAAACTGCAAAAGTTCTGAAATGCCTGCCCTAAAAGTGGTACTAAATAAAAAAGTTTGTATGAATAGCTGTTTGGATTTTTTTTCTTTTTTTCCTGAAGCTGAGAAGGTGGAAGTCCTGGAGACTAGTTTGTCAAAACGCAGGAAAGAAAGAAGCTATATGTGTTCTGAAGGAAAAACAAACAAACCAGTAAGAGCCACCAGGACAGCAGATTTTCCGAATGTACACTAATATTAACTATGCAAGTACATTTCTTATTGCTGTTTAATGGACCATTAGTAGTTCTCTTTTTTCTTCCTTAAAGTTACTCTGAAAAGAACATTATTTTGCATCTTTAGCTAAAAAATAAAATGTAAATAAATGATTATCACATACCTTAAGCTGCTAATAACAAGATCAAACGTATCTTCTTTGAAAGGAAGGAATTCCTCATCAGCTACAACCTTGACCGTAGGGATTTCAGATTCTACAGCATTCTTCTAATGTTGGGTTAGAAGAAAAACAACATCAGAAACTCACTTCTTTTGCTTTCCCGTATTATGGAATTGAAGCACATGAGCATTCAGAAAGCTACTTACTAAAGCATTCTCTGCAATATCAACTTGAATAAGTTTTTCAATGGTTTCCTGAAAAAAAATTTTAATAGTCTATGAAATATTTAAGTTGTCTTACAAGTTCACATTAGCCATTTTTTGGAACGCTTACACATATTTATAAGAAGTTAGAAGGAATCACTCTAATAAATCTCTTTGATAAAACTTTACGTAAAGCAGAAAGCATTTTTCCCCCCAACATAATAATTGCTCCCACAGAGAACAGCTGAGGTAAAACAAAAAACACATTCTGCATTTTTACATGTAAGTTCAGTCAGATATAAACCATGGATTAAGAGCCACTGAAGTACCTTTACTTACAACACCTTTTTTTTACTGCTCACCCTTTAGAAGTCTCCATAATGATACTTCTCTTTAATAACTAAGTGCATCCAACAAATATTGATCGAAAAATATGCACCTCCCTACTCAATACTAAAGGTTACCTGTCATACAACAGATAGCTTGCCTTGCACTACTATCTGTCTAGTCTTTGGTGACAATATAACAGACTGCATAACACACATCTTTGGACTGTAGCTACAGATATGAGAGGAAAAAAAAAAAAAGAAGTTAGCTCATCAAGATTCAGAGGATTGTTTTAAGTTACAATAGAGCCCTATCTGAAAACAGAGGAATAAATACACCTGTATTTTAAACACTTTGAAGTATGAAGAGACAGTACCTTGGTTAAATGTTGAGCTATGTAACCTCTTCCAGAGCCAACATCCAAAGCGAGAGGAAATGTTCTAAAGGATAAGTTTAGCAACATAAAACATAATCAAGACTTAAGCTATTTTAAGTTTTAGCCTACGTTAAGTTTTGTCTGCTTGTTTCCCAACACCTTTTCGAACTAAACCCATCGAGCACGCTGCTGCGGTTACCACTACGAGAAAGCACAGAGAAAGGCGCTGACAAGGCAGCATTTCTTCCCGAGGATCAGGTCCCCTGCCTGCACCCCAGCAGCTGCAGGGCAGTGTGCGGGGCAGGGAGCGGAGCCCCACTGAGAGTCATTTAGCTTGGAAAAGACCTTGAAGGTCATCCAGTCCAACCATTAACCTAACACTACCAAGTCCACCACTAAACCAATTAAGGGTTGATTGGTAATTTCATGTTTCCTGGTTTGGTGGCTGGATTATTTTTTAATGAAAGTGAAAACTAGGAATCATTAAGATTGGAAAGGACCTCTAAGATCATCAGTCCAACTGTCAACCCAACACCACCATGTCCCCTAAACCATGTCCCAGAGCGCTACATCTGCCTGTTTTCTGAACACTTCCAGGGATGGTGACTCCACCACCTCTCTGGGCAGCCTGTTCCAATGCTTGACTACCCTTTCCGTGAAGAAATTTTTCCTAATATCCCATCTAAACCTCCCCTGACACAGCTTAAGGCCATTTCCTCTCGTCCTATCACTTGTTACTTCACAGCTTTCCCCGGCGGCGAGGCTTACCTGGTGATGTCAAACACCCTGTCCGCTATCCT